CTTCGTTTCGGCCTTCCTTTGTACCTCAAATTGCAGGAGCACATGGTCACTTGCCCCTAAGGATCCTACCACCTCAACCGCATCGATCAGGTCCTCCACATTTGTTAGGATGATAATAATAATTGTTGTTGTTCAATGGATATATAAGAGTTTGGAACATATTGCACAGAAGGAGAATGAAGTGAAAAAGTAAAACTAGACTTGTCTAAATTCAAGTTAATTAGTTGTTGTTATTGTTATCATTGTCTCCTGTTTTATCTCTCTAAAAAAGAAATTCAAAGCAACCAATACCATACAATTAAAAAACTATATTAGGCCGAAGGAGAATAAAGTGAAAAGGCTAAACTGGACCAGCCTAAATTCTATGAGACTTGGTTCAAGTTCATTAGTTATTATTATTATTATTTGTCTCCTACTTTATCTCTCTAAAAAAGAACTCCAAGTGGCTCGCATCAAAACCAATGCAATATAATGTATCACCTAAAAATATACTAACATTAACATAGAATTAAACATGAACAATATTAAAAATAAAGTTAAACCCCTGAAACCAATTCAAAACCTATCCATGTAGTTATGTCACTGATGCACTCTGGCCTGAAGTCACCTTTGCACTCAGCACCACACAAGAGTCCAGTATTACTAACGAAACAGTTTATTGAAGAAAACAAATGTAAAAGGCAAAAAGCAATGTAAAAAGCAATGTCCAAAAAGCAATAGGAAAAAGGCTTTCAAAATGCAATAGTCAAAACACCAAAGTTCAGTCCAAAAGTGACAAGGTACATGGAAAAAAACCAGGAATAAAAACACAGACATAAATCCATAACCAGGAACTTCTTCCAAAGCATGAATCCATGAACATAAGCATAAAACATGAATCCATGAACATGAGCATCTTTGGGAAGGATAAAAATCTTAGACATAGACTTGAACGTAGAGCAAAAACAAGATCCGAGGTGTACACGGTAACACAGTGTTGCCTGTTCTAACCTGTTCAGTAAACAACAATTTAATTTAAGGTTGACAAGCCTTGAAGTCGTGCCTCTGACATCTGGTCTGTTTCTCATGGAGTCTCTGTGACCTCCGTAATCTGACTCCCTCCTCCCAGAGGTCGAGTCTCAAACTCCTACTGACCTCAGGTGTTTTCCCAGGGGAAAGATCTTTCTCTTCCAGCTCCTTATCTTGTTACCAAGGAACAACCAGGGGAAATGTCTTCCCTATCTGCCAATGCCCAGATATCTCCATCTCCTCCCTGCTCTGAAGCCGTTTCTTTCTGACCAGACACAGACCCATCCTCCCAGACAGAATAATGATCCAAAATCCCCTCATTTCCCACACTGGAAAGCCCATTATTCCTCACAACCTCTAACTGAACAATCCCCTAGTCTTCAGCCTCTGGTTGAACCACAACACTCACTGAAAATAGCCATTTTTTCGGTTCCCCTTCCTCATGTTGATTTTATCCCTTTTTCAATTCTGCATCCCAAAACCTTCACTCATTTCAAGCACAGAGCCTCGGTCTCTCATTCTCTGAGAAGTTTTCTCCAACCTGCTCTTTTAGAGGCCATTTCCCCAATCAGACTATTATAAATGATCAGTTAATAATTAGAATGAGTTACCGGGACTGCAGACCATCACCGCCTGAATGGCCATTTCATGGATTGCTGCAGAAAGATTCAATCCTTTGGGCACAACGAGTGGACCACCAGAAGCCAATATGTGACAGAGCTTTCGGCATGCCAAGAACAACAACTTCCCTGTTTGTTCGTTGTGGTGATGTTCATTAAGATCCCTAATGAGAAAAGAGGTTTTATCAAAACAAACGCCAACACATTGCCCGTCTGTATCTTGAAAGATAATGGCGAAGCAGAAAAAAAGACGTTAAGGCCAGTCATGACTTTGTTTCCTAACCTGCAAATGTTGAGTGCTTCTTCGACGTTTCCTGCATCCAGCACTCTCAGGGCCAGCTCTGTTCCCATCTCATGCTCCGTCCTTTGCAGAAGACCCGCCAGTCTGTAAAGCCCACATCGAGCCAGCTCTTGCCTCTTCACCCCACTGTTCTCCAAGCTGGTCTTTTCTTCTGTTTTTTTAAACCTCTTGGCATTATAGGTCTCTATCTTCTCTTGGAGGAGGCGAGTCATCAGTGGCAGATTCTCATAATCTTTGGGAGATACGTAGATGTCAAAATTACCCTGAACAAAAAGTAGATGGAAGAAAAAACATGAGGGTGAGGAATAGTGGACCTGAGCAAGGCTTAATTGGAACATGGAAGCTACTGTATTTCATCACAAAACAATCACATTTTTTCCTATTTCGATAGAAAAAAGGAGGTGCAACTATTACATGATCAAAAAATACTGTGATTCTTTGGCTTGTTTTTAAAAAAACTACCCCACCTTACCTCCCAGACAGGAGGAGGAAAAGGAAGGATCCAGCCTCCGACAGACAGCTCAATTTATGTTATGTTATGTTTGTTTGTTTAAACCGCCTTGCTTCAGAGAAAGGAGGAAGGACGACTCTTTCTCTGAAGGCAACACAGTTTACAAAATCTGAAATTGATCTCATTGTAGGAAGGAGGGGAGAGTGGAGCTCCAGAAACCTCCATTTCATAGTTTTTAAACTGTCCTTTGGAGAAGGAAGGAGGGAATCAGCCCAAAAGGCTCTATGACTATTATGCGAAGAACACAGAAATGCCAATTCTGCCACCGCAAAAAGAAGGTGTAATTATTATGCAATGAAATACATTCTCTGTTGAGAATTGGAAGGGTCCCTACAATTTCTGGCAATGATTCTCAATGGCCGGAACCAAGCACAGCCTCCAAGATGCCGAAGATGAGAAAGGCTATATATACTTCTTTCTATGTACAGTTGTCTGTCCTGTCAGTGTATAATGGCATTGAATGTTTGCTGTATATGTGTTCTGTGATCTGCTCTGAGTCCCCTTTGGGGCGAGAAGGGAGGAATATAAATACTGTAGAAAATAAAAATAAATATATAAAATGTCAGCATTCTCTGCAGCCAGAGATCCTTTAAAATAGGCACAGCCAGGGCACGAACCACAGGCATCTTCCAGAGGCCACTTTTGGATTCCTGAAGTCCCAGAAAGGGGGGGAAACTGTCCCAAATGAGAATTAGCATTCTTAGACACAGCAATTACCTTCCAAACAAGAAAGGAATCTAAATACTGTAGAAAATAAAAATATAAAATTTCAGCATTCTCTGCAGCCAGAGATCCTTTAAAATAGGCACAGCCAGGGCATGAACCACAGACATCTTCCAGAGGCCACTTTTGGATTCCTGAACCCCCAGAAAGGGGGAAAAACTGTCCCAAATGAGAATTAGCATTCTTAGACACAGGAATTACCTTCCAAACAAAATATATTTACATTCCCTCCACTGCACAAATAAATCCCTTTATATGTTTTTGAATGCGACACAAAACTTACCTGCAAGGCTTTAAGCATTTTAAAGCATTTTAAGTCAGCTTCATACTCTTCTGTCTTCCCAAGATTTCCTATCGTCCAAAAGAAGTGGAGGGAAAGAAGAGTGGTTATTGCACGGCTTATGGCAATGAAGTAAAAGAGTAGCAGAAACAATGCAAGGTTTACCTTTCTGGTGACTAAGCAGGAACTTGAGGACCTCCACCAGGATATTTTTTAAATATAGCTGCCTATTCCGCTAGAAAAGTAGAAGAGATGGGAAGAGAAAGAATGACAAAAACTCTGTTAACAACTCTAGTTGTACCAAGAGCAATGTTTTACTTTCAAAACTGAGACCAAAAATGAGAGGGAGGGATATTACACTGTTGCATCTTGTTTCAGATTGAGTATTGGCAATCTACTGTCGGACAGATGGCAAGTTATTTAACCTCAGCAGACAAAAGTCAAAACCAAGTCACAACATCTGCTACAGAACTCCAATATGGTGATGATAACGTAGTCTGTGCACCCTAAAAGCCATTCTAAACACCTTTGCAAAAGCATAAGAGAAGCTCAGCCTCTCATTGAACATCGAGAAAACCAAAGTGGTCTTCCACCAGCCAATCCCTCTCCAATGCCAGAAATACAGCTTGATGGTGTAACATTAGGAAATGTTGTCCATTTCTGCTACCGTGGCAGCCACCTCTCCACAAAAGTCAACATTGTCACTGAAATACAACACTGCCTGAGCTCTGCGAGAGCAGCATTTTTCCGAATGAATCAGAGCATGTTTGAGGATCGGGACATCTGTAGGGATATCAAGGTGCTTGTTTATAAAGCTATTGTCCTCCCAATCCTGCTATATGCCTGCGAAACATGGCCCGTTTACAGATATCACACTCAACTCCTGGAACGATTCCATCAGCGTTGCCTCTGAAAAATCCTGCAAATCTCTTAGGAAGACAGGTGAGCAAATGTCAGCGAGCTAGAAGAAGCAAAGACTACCAGCATTGAAGCTATGGTCCTCCGTCATCAACTCTGCTGGACCGGCCACATTGCCCGAATGCCCAAAGATCACTGTCTTCCAAAGAAGTACTCTCAACTCAAGAATGGAAAATGGAATGTTGCTGGACAGGAAAAGAGATTTAAAGATGGGCTCAAAGCCAACCTTCAAAACGGTGACATAGACATCGAAAACGGTGAAGCCCTGGCCCTTGAGCACTCTAACTGAGGTTAGCTATGACCAGCAGTGCTGTGGTATTTGAAGAGGCATGAATGGAGGAAGAAAGGGAGAAATGTGCCAAGCCAATCTTGATCAAGACAGCCTTTCACCTAGAAACTGATATCCTCACTGTGGAAGAACATGCGGGTCAAGAACAGGACTCCACAGCCACCTACGGACCCAACGCCAATACACTACACTTGGAGGGCCATCATACTTGGACAATGAGGGATTGCCTTAGTAAAGTAAATTGGTTTTATAGTTGTTACCTCTTCTTCACTGTCAAACATTTCTGCCTCCAGTTCCAGTCTTCCCCACGTCACTGTCCTATCTGCAATCTCCATAGCTTCGGCAGCAGGAAGAGACCTTAATAAGTTGATAACATCATCTCTCTGCAAGAGCATGGAAAGTAGTGTCACTCTGGATAGAGCCCATAACCTTTGGAATAAAGCTCTCTTCATCCAATGCTAAAACGGGTGTTGGAGAGACGTCTGGCTTTGCTTCAGGCAACAAATAATATTATTGACAAATAATAAAAGACGAATGCGGCAGAGATCGAGAAAGGAAATACAGATACCAGAGAGGAACTGAGAGAGTCCAACCTCACTGTCACCCACTTATCCCAGTTTAAGATTGAAACACCAGTGTATTATTATTACTGCCCTCCTTTTTCTCTTTCAAAGCAGCTTACAATAAAACCAATACAATATCATTTAAAACCTAAAAATATACAGACAATAAAATAGAATTAAATATTAATGGAATTAAAAATAAACACTTAAAAACCCTTAAAACTAATTAAAAACCTATTCATAGCCAAAACGACAGCACCCCCTGACTTGATCTTAAAGAGTCACCTGACTACATGTGTGTTCCAATCGTGTGAGAGAGAACGAGAGAGACAAAAAGACTGCCAGATAGATCAAGGTAGGAATTACGTAGCCCTCCTGATGCTTTTGAACTAGAGTTTTAGAGTTTTTAAATACTGTTAGCCTGATTTTGTTCATTTTCATTGTTTCTTCCTTTCTGTTGAAATGGTCCACATGCTTGTGGATTTCAGTGGCTTCTCTGTGTAGTCTAACACGGTGGTTGTTAGAGTGGTCCAGCATTTCTGAGTTCTCAAATAACATTCTGTGCCCGGGTTGAACAAAATCTGGCTACCAGTATTTAAAAACTCTAAAATCAGGACAGTAAACAAAGAACAACACTCAGAAAACAGGGGAATTCCAGACAGGAAACAATCGGGGCCAGCTAACACCTCCCAACAAAGGATCCCCCCAGGAAGAAAGCAGCCAAAATTTGAAGCTGCAAGGCTATTCAATGCTAATAAAGGTGGCAAATTGCAACATTCACACTTGCCTCAAACAGACAAGAGTTCTTTCTCCCACCCTGGACATTATTCCACAGGTATATTAATAAATCAGTCTTGCCTAGTTTCCAACAGCCCTCACATCCTTGGAGAATGACTGCCATAGATGTGGGTGAAACATCAGGAGAGAATGCTTCTGGAAGATGGCCAGGCAGCCCAGAAAATTCACAGCAACCCAAGGTTTTGATTTGTATACATGGGGTCACATAAAAATGTCTTGGGCAAAAGGGGATCACAAGCTGAAAAAGTTTGAGAAGCCCTGTCCTGAGGAACTGATAGGAAACTGGCCACAAGCTTTGCTTCCTTCCTCCTTTTTCAAAGCTCTTGGTTTTCCTCTCCTTAGAAAAGGTATGGCCAGTTCTCCATGTCTGTCCCAGGGTATGAATCATTGTAAGAACTGTTACAAAAAAAAAGAAGCATATTTTACAGAAAAACTTCAGGATCAAGGACACAATTGATAGAAGAGTCCTGCAGGAATGGAACTACACTAGATCTGTTTCCAAATTCGCTAATTTCCACTTCTGTGTAATTTCACCCCTCTCAACTCAATTGGATTTCAGCCCTAGAAAACTGTCGGTATTGCCATTTTCAACACAACTGAACACAGTCGAACATGCAGAGTGGCCAATACAATTGAAGCCACAGCCTTTCAATATTTATTTGTTAATGCGCACCTTTTCTTTGTCGATGAGGTTAATAATCCTCCAAAGATAGACTTTTGAGGTAGTCAGCATGTAAGTATTTGTGATTTTCAAAGCATCCTCCAAACAAGACGGACTATCTTGCTTCAGAATGTACCTTACTAACATCTGGAAAACAGAACTGTGTCTTAGATGTACACTTTTATCAGATGTTATAATAAAACATCACTATTGATACACAATCAACATATAAGGTAGTTACAATCATCAGCAATGCATGGGATTTTTTTTTTTGTCACTGAAAGGGCAATCTGGTCACTCACCCATATCATCTGCTTGTCATTTAAGAGATTGGTGTCTCGGATGCCATAGCTCCGCAAAAGTGTCTTCATTTCCATCAGCTGGTAGCCTTCCTGCACCAGTTTCACTCTGCAATACAGATCAGTAGTTCAAGCGATACTTTTGGAGTCATGCTGGTTGGGAGATTTGGGACACTGGAGTCCAAGGAGTAGTGTTTCTCAATTTCTGGTCTTCCAACTTCCAATTTAAATACATTTAACTCGAAGTATCAAGAAAAAAAATCCCTTGAGTCACCTGGTACAACTTAGGAACATGTATCTGTCCGCTTACTTGGCATGATCCATGTGAAGGTATTTCTCCACCAGCAGCTTCATCCTGGGGCTCCAAGGAATCACGGCACCATGCATGATGGCAAGCACTCCTTCAAAGATCAGCTACAAAGGAGAAGGAAAGGACGCAGTGCTAGAACGGCTTCCACCATTGTCCCAGACATTTGCCCTCCTGACTGTGAAGGGGATATTTGACGGTTAGAGTCCATCATACTCACATCGATGTCTGACATGCAGCCCAAGACAACAATGGCCTTTGCTTCCCACATCGTGTGAAAGAGAGAGGCTGACCGTTTAGAGTACCGCTGTAGCAGGTCCTAAGCAGTGTTTTCAAAAAGATTATTACAAAGAAATGAATAGAAATATTGCATATATTAAAGTAAAGTCAGAGTCAGACTTGGCCATGTTAATCCATGCTCTTGTTATATCTCGGATAAACTACTGCAGCACACTCTATGTGAAGTTGCCTTTGAAGACTGTTTGGAAACTTCAAATGTTCCAATGGGCAGCAGCCAGGTTGCTCACCAGAGCAGCGTACAGGGAGCATACAACCCCCTGTTATGCCAGCTCCACTAGCTGCCAGTCTGCCACCGAGCACAATTAAAAATACTGGCTTTAGCCTATAAAGCCCTAAAGAATTCTGATCCATCTTACCTGTCCGAACGTATCTCCCCCTATGATTCACCTCAGAGGCTAAGATCGTCAGGGGAGGCCTTGCTCTTGGTCCCACCTCCTTCTCAGGTGAGGTTGGTGGAGACGAGAGACAGGGCCTTCTAAGTGCTGACCCCTTGTCTATGAAACTCCCTCCCCAGCAAGATCAGCCCCCTCCCTCCTGACCTTCCGGAAAAAACGAAAAACGTGGCTTCGGGACCAAGCCTTTGAGCAGTGCAATAAGAGATTACGAAATAATACAATAACAAATGGAACACCCCTAGAGTATGACTTGGATTGTGTGATTTTAACTGATGTTTTCATGATGATGATTTTACTTGTTTTGGATTTTAATCTGTTGTTTATTTATCAATATGTATATGGGTGGCATCGAATTGTTGCCTACGCAAGGCCACTCTGGGTCTCCTTCGGAGTGAGAAGGACGGGGTACAAGTATGGTAAATTAATTAATTAATAATATATTATTGCTTTACTACCCCGCCTCAAGCAGCAAGGGAGACAGGTAATAAAATTGTCATCATCTTGCACTTTTTAGGATAAATGTTGCTGAATTCCGAAAAAACAACAACAATAATCTATATCTATATCTATATCTATCTATATCTATATCTATATTCTATATATATATAATAAAAGTCAAAGTTTGTATGCGACGGACAGAGGAGGGAAGTGCGGAGGGCGGAAGTGTATGTGCC